ATATATATATATATCACAGTAATTATATGTTATATATTATTTATATATTATTAAAATTGAGAGTAAATATATATACTTTGTTATATATATAATAGTAAATGTTGCATTCAATTTAATATAACAATAAATACTATTTAATTTAATGGAGAATAAATTTTAAATTTAAAATGTTTGCTAAGAAAGTTATTAAAATAAGTATAAAATGATCTCTGCCTTAATACCATCTTATGAACAGAGAGAAAGAAAAATTAGTAGATTATTTTTAATACTTCCTGTTTCTCAATAAAAGAGAACAATATATTACCTAACATAGTCATTTTGTCGAGATTTATACTTGTTACAGACAGGATTTCCAGTTAACTTCAATTCCTCCAGTTTTAAATCCTTAATAGCATCTAACTGATGAATGTCTCTGATCTAGAATACACAATTAACTCAGATTAAAACCAAGCATTATTATGTTAACGACAATTTTATACAATTTTATATTTTCTTGTTGAAATAAACTCACCTTATTATCACCAATATATAAAATTTTCAATTTTGAGAATTTCTTTGTCAGTATACTAAGTCTCTCAATATTCTGCAACTTATTTCCTTCTAAGTTCAAAGCTTCTAAATTCGGTATGTGTTCCGCTACAATGTCCAACACAGTCTTCATCATAACCGGATGGAACAATACACAAAAGTAATCAGAGCAAAGGTCTATAAGACAAATATATTTACGTTAAAAAAAACTCCCAAGTTACAATAATTAATATTTTTAATTAATACATTATCATCCTCATTATACTTATAGTTTTATAACTTTTTATTCTTACCAGGATCAAGATAGAACTTGGACAAATTCAAAGCATTGGTATCTTGTACATATCTCTTAACCATTGCTTGTTTTAACCTTTCCTTCAATTTATCATCAATATCATAAATTGGAAATCCTGGTTTCACTTTCACTTGCAATTTAAATCCATCACTCATTGTGATCTTATAATCACAGTTTTGCAATGCAATTGCCGTCTTATAATCGTCTATATAGAAACTGGCATCAATTGCAGATGTCTTGTACTGTAAATAAATTTGATAATTCAGCTATAAGAATTTACGGTTTTACACTTAAATTTAACTATATTATATTAAATCTAAAAAAACTATATATGTTATATTAAAGCTAAAAAATTACTTAGATAAGATATATATTAAATAAAAAATATGTATTTTCTAATAAGTTTACTTGCCACTATGGGTACAAATACATTGGGCGCAATGTAATTCAAAAGGGTATTTATAATAAAATCCCTTTCGTACTTCTGACCATATGGTATCTATAAAATATAATTAAAAATTTAAATTATTGTATAATCATTTTACATTAGTGTATACGTATATACTTTAGGTGCACTAAGTATTTAATATTATTGTGCCAGTACTTCAGTATAATATCACAGAAATAAACTTACACTAACTCTATACCAATTGGATTCTCTTAAAGGAGGAAGCCGTCTAGGACCTGACTGACCTCCCTTAAAATTTCTATTTGGCATAGGACTGTTCCTGCCACGAGGAACAGTTCGCCAACGTTCCCCTCGTTCTCTATTATTCGAATTCATTATCACTTGTCTCGAATTGTTATTCGAAGTCATTGGAATGTCGTCATCCAAATTAACAAATGTCAAATTACGAGCCAAGTTGTTAGGCGTATGGGTCTTAAATGACACACGGTGCTTGATATGACCATGGGGTCTTCCATCTCTCCCATGGGGTCTTCCTACTCGATCATCATGACCTAAGAATATATATTAGTAAAATTACCGTTGGTAATTAATCGTTGGTCCAATCGCTTTTTCACCTTACAGTTTTCGATAGAACTCGTCGAGAAACAACGTAAACATCTTGTATATAATACGCACCAAAAAAATTTTTTTAAATCGGGCTCTCATCTAAAAAGTTTTCATTACATGCCAAAAAAACATCCGTAAATTTTTATGAAAAAAATATTAAGATTTAGAGGTCGCTAGTGAACGATTTTTAATTTTTATTTTTCATTAATTCTATTTATTTTGTAAGCAACAAACTCGTAACTTGCATATTTCAGCATCAACAAATTCAGCCGACATTTTAGTACCAATTTTAAGCGAGCAATATATATTTTACTGATACTTTATTACTCTTGTTCCGCTAGTATACGATGAGGTTTTTTTGTTATTTATACCTATTTTGCAAGCAATAAGCTTCGTAACTTGCATATTTCGACAGCAACAAATGAGCAACAAATTCCTATGTGATTTTTACGTCGATCGTCTTTGTTCTATTCTATGTACATTGTTCCACTAACTTAATCTTCTCTTAGCGGAACATTATTTAAAAAAGAAACTAATAGAGCAAATTTTTTTTTCTTTGTTGTTAGCAACGAATAAGCAACAAATAAAAATGTTAGTTAAAATCGATTCTGCTCACTTTGTTCCGCTAAATTATAAGATGTCGTATTACCTGACACTTTTTTGAAGAAATTTCAGATTCACCTTACACTCTACTGTTTTTGATGTAGTATTCTTTAAAAAAGATGAAACTCTTCTTGCACATAATATAAGTCAGCTAATTAAAAATTGTTTAATTGATGAGGATGAAACATCTCTTTGAAAAAAATCAGTTTTTCTCTTTGAAAGCAAATATCTTCGAAACTATAAGAGGTAGATAAAAATTTCTAGAATGTAAATTGAACGGCTTCAAGAGTACATTGAAAATGCAATTAAAAAAAATATTTTTTATAGATAGATAATTTTTATTATAAATAAGATAATAAAAGTTTTTTAATTGTAATTCTAAAGTACTCTCAGGCTTTCAGCCAATTCAGCACGTCAAAATGAGTGAGGAAAGTGAGTTTCTTCGCAAAAAAGTGACTAAAAAGTGAGTAAATAGCAAATTTGGAAAACATTACTTTTTCCGTTTCTTTACTGTTTATAATAAATAATTTGATAATGATGTTGAAATTTTTTTATTACTAAACGCTAAGGTTGTGCTACAGTTGGAAAAATCGACATTTCCAATTTTAACAAACTTAGCGTTTAGTCAAAAACATTATAATATCATGTTTATTACAGAAAGTAACAACACAGTAACTTTAAAACTACAGGTGTGCAAACGAAAATCTATTGATTAAGACCTTTTCGAATCCATTTGCTCGATGTTGGGGGGCTAGTGTGAAGTTAGGCCTCCCAAAATTGTTTTTTAAATAACTTTTAAAGATGTACAAACAAAATTAAAAAATGTGCACAAATGTACAAACGATGAGCAATCGAATGAGCTATATAAAACTTCAAAACGTAATCTTCTTACGGACTCTCCTGATTTAACAACCATCAAAAATCAAGGGCATGTGAGAGTGCAACGTTGTTGTAGGTACGTGAATAATCTAATCTAAAACGGATCCTCAATAAAATTCTTTATTAATGAACATAAGTATGTTTCGACTCCTTTTTGAGTCTTCTTCAGCTAATATAATTACATGAATTCTTCTCATAATAATTTCGCAACACCAACGATCAAATTGACAGATAAGATGTAGTGTCTGTAAGTATTATTTTTTGATGACAAACAAATTTTATAATAATTAACTTATTCAAAAGCGACCTACCTTGCAAATAAAGTGAAGAAAGAATATATATAATACAATCATGGACATTTTTTCAGTATGCCTGGTCTTAGATTAATTACTAACTACGCCTAAAGTGCTTGGCATTATAATTTGTATGACACAAGTATATGTTTACCTTCTAATGTCTTAGTTGAAACTGTTAATCTTTGTATACAATGTCTAGTCATTTTTTAACAAAATAAATATGTATAGGGATATATAAGTCAAATTTTAAAAATAGATATTACAAAGTTAAAATACAATATCGAATTAATATACAATTATATACGTAAGGCAACATTAAAATTACAACTTATGCTTCGTTTCATCCAACATTGTTTTATAATTTTGATGTAGCCCATCAGTGTCAGTGCGTTTATTTAAACTGTTTTCTTGGGTATGAATGGCATAGTTAATAATTAATCTAAGACCAGGACATACTAAAAAAAATGTCCATGATTGTATTATATATTCTTTCTTCACTTTATTTGCAAGGTAGGTCGCTTTTGAATAAGTTAATTATTAAAATTTTTTTGTCATCAAAAAATAATACTTACAGACATTACATCTTATCTATCAATTCGATCGTTGGTCTTGCGAAATTATTAAGAGAAGAATTCATGTAATTATATTAGCTGAAG